TATACAGTAAACTAACAGCAAAAAGTTCCAGATATGACCAGAAGACCAGAATAACTGATTTTTTAAAAAAACTGATTATTTTTTTCAGACTTTGAATATGGCATAGCATTTTCCAACATCAGTCAGGACCTTTACGCCTCAAAGAACAATAGAGGCTTCCATTTTTTCAATGCTTTTCCTTTTTTTTCCTTCATTTAAACAAAGTCAGAAATGAATGAAGCTGTAGGAATCCTCTGGTTCAGTTACAGTGATCCTCTGTACAACACAATAGTCCCCAATGCTGTTTCTTTTTTTTCTCATCTCTGACAGGAAACCCATAGTCTAATTATACTTTTAAATGAACATAATGTTATATGTTGTAACTCTTAAGTGGGACATTATACTGCCATTATAACCCTAGAACTGACAAGGTAGCCCCTATATGGAATCCTTTGTACATAGGAAATCTGCCAACAGATAAATAATGCATCTATTTAATCATTTCATAATTTTCCTTCATTTCTGAGCTGATGATACTTCATTAGATAATAAGACAGAAAGAGTGATGCCCAAGGAAACACTGAAGAAGAATCAGAACATCAGTGAAAAGCAACTTAGTAAAAAACATCTTCTTCTTATGAAGAGATAGAGACAGCTAGGGATATTTAGAAAATGAAGACCGAGGAAGTACTTACAGTCTTGAAAAACTGTGACTTAAGAATAATGATGAGATATGCATTACCCATACTACGTACTCTCTCTCTTCACATTCAGATGAATAGCTAGTAAAGTTAGGCTTTAATTCCTTGTTCTGTGCAATCTATGTTTTCTTACTTTACCAGGCAAATCTCTGTTTACTTGTCAAGTCGTCAAAAGCTTAAGAAAGCTACAGCATGTGAATTTTTCTGCAGTCTTACAAAAAATCCACCCAATTTTTGCAATAGCTTTTAAAGAAACCACCCAAGTAAGCCTGGCAGAATCGGCATACTGAACATTGCTGAAGAAAATTTGTATTTCCCTAGGACAATTACTTTTTTACAAGCTGCTTCCCCTACATAGATTTATCTATGCCTTTCCACCTTCCTCAGGTAAAATTCTCACTGACTTCACTGGGAGTTTCTCGGAAGAAATGAATATTTCATAATGCTGTAAAACCCAAAGCAGATTGGATTTCTTATTCATAATTTCCTTAATCAAAAATTGACACTGAATTTGATGAAAATTTGAGTATCACAAGTATTTCAACAAAGATAGGAAGTCCTATTCATTTTCAGAGACAAAGTAGCCATGCTCAACTTTTTTTTAAATTATCAATGAAGAATGGCATTTTCAACCAATGGAAACCCTGTTGAGGTCAAAGGAAATGTCTGACTTTATTCCATGTGAGAAGGATGTTGCTATTTTACTAAAGGTAGTTTTCCACTGCATAAACGTCCTTGAAAACTATCAGTGCTCTTTCCAAGATTAGAGATATTAACTTTTCATGCAGTAAATTGGATTGACACATTTTGAAAATGAAACATTTCAAAGACCCTTTTTTGAATTCTCCCATTGGCAATTTAAAATTTCAATAAATCAATAAATGTGCCCTGTAAAGATCAACATAAAATGGACCTTTCAACTTCATTAGTTCATTACACCTGTGCAAAGTCAACGCTAACTAACAATCAGAATAATAGGATTTTTACAGCTTCTTTCTCTAGCATGAAGTGCTGCAGCAGGTGCTGAGAAAAAAATAGGCCTGGGAAGCCTGATGCTAATAATTCAAATGATCTACAGGCTCCATGGATTTCAACAACCTTAGCCAATTTAGAGGAGCTAGGAATCTAACACCTTCTGATTAACTTGCTGTCATGATGACCTGCTCTTAAAGGAAAGACCAATGGATCTGCGTTACCTGCTCCATTTATACACCAGAGCCATAGGAAGAGGCAGTAAGTTGAAAGGGGACAACTCCTTAAAGTCCAAACGTTACAGGAATGGCCAACAAAAATGCTAATTAAGGAACAAACTGGCCAAGCTGCTTTGCAAACTGTACTCAGTGTCCATGTCCTGAAAGCTTTAGAAAGCAAAGTTAGCTCTAGAGTTTAAAGAGCAGGTTACCTGAAGTTTTTGTGGATCAGCAGTGCTGTGGAAAAGTGCAGCACCTGGAACGTGCCCATCACCAGGAGGTTTCCCTGCGCCGGTGCCAGGGGAAACATGGGACGTGGCCAGCAGCTGAGCACTGATGGGACCATAGCCATTGGAAGGCCGATGAACATTGTTCGAGGCAGTGGCTACTTCATCTTCATCACCGGAGTCCGTAATCAGGATAAACTCAGCCTTAAAAAGGTCATTCTCCTGCATTTCTCCTTCGCTCGAGTTACACCCTGGAGCCTGGAAAGCCGCTCGGGTGCTGTCTGCACAGATGTTGGACACACGTTCTTGTCTGGCCCCGCTCTTTAAGGCCAGCTCATCAGAGACTGTGTTAGACTGCAAAAGATACAAGGAAAAAGATCCCAATTAGCTGCATTTTATTTGTGTTCCCCAGTTCCCCAAAATGCGAATTTTGGCTTGCAGTGGTGGCTGGCACTGCACTACCAAAAGCGCAGAGGGCAAATGAAGAATTTGGGCATGAGCAGCCAGCAGCAACGAGCTCCCCAGGGAGCCCCCTGCTTCCAGCCCCCCAGCCGATGCTGTGGGGGCTGCCTTCCCGGCAACTCGCAGAGCAACAGGGGACTGTGAGCACAACGACGGCCTGAGCCCGGGGCTGGCACGGGAACGGAAAAGGAGGGTGCAGTCAAGCCGAATGAGCTGTCAGACCAGACTACGCCAGACGCGATGGGAAGGCATCCCGACCATGGGATCCACGGGAGCCAACAATGCTCCTCAGAGGAGTCTGACAGATGAATCTGGGACAAAACCTATACACACTAATGAAGAAACAAAGGCCTTTAAGCCAGGGAATTCTCTGAAGAGAGCAGACAAAGAATCTGAGGTCAGAGAGCTTTACTGTATGTTCAAGCTTCTCAGCACAGACCACAATTGTTCTTCGTATTTTCTGCAATTTCCACTTCCAGTATGTAACTTCTCAAGCACGCTTTGGATGAGAGCAGGAGTAGTGCAAGCTGGGCATATGACACGCACATCACCAAATCATTCAGTATTGAAACCGCTATGGTAAATCATATTTCTCTTGAAGGAGGAATCAGGTAAAAGAATAGAAATATTGTGTACTGCAAGAGAAAGCCTGTAGATGGGGCTCATATTTGAATCCTGCTTGAGGAATACAGTAATGACAAATTTCCACTGGCAGCTCCACGAGTCCCTGGAGTCCAGTTCTTTAAAAAAATATTAGACCATAAAGGGGGATACCACCAGTTTGACTTTGGAGGTGTTATTTTCATTATCTGATGTTGGTTGGTTTTTTTACATATTGTTCAGGTTCTAGACATTTTAGAAAAGGGAGTAATCAGTGCTATGAAGGCCTCAATACTGCATCACCTGCCAGGAAAGTTTTCTCTGCCTACAGAGAAACACAGGGAGACAGGGGTCAGGAGTACCTGATTCTGCCTTACCCAGCGCACTACTTACAGCAAAACCAATACTGAGTGGCTGGAAATGTAACTCATGAGTTAAACATCCTGAGGATAATATTCCAGCACATGTCTCTTCAAACATGTCCATTCTCTGCCCAGACCAACCCCTTTTTTAGTCAGATAGGCCACTGAAAATACTGGAGCACATTCAGGTTAGAGGACTGTGAACTTCTGTGAAAAGTTTATTAGCACCAAGAACTGCAGCCCCAGCAACGTCCCAGGGAAGGAGCTGTTACACAAGAGCAGAATCACCATAAGCATTAATATTAATCTGAGGGTTCCAGTTTCCTCTCAAGCAGCATGGAATAAAATAAGAGGCTGTTAAGCATTGTGAGGCAGGAAAGGAATAACAAACACTATGGGCTGGCTAAAGGCAGGAGAACCAGGAATGTTGTGCTGCTGGCTTCACCGTCACGGGAAATTGTGAGGCAAGCTTTCAAAAACAAAAGGCAAGCTTTCACAAACAAAAGGCAAGCTTTCACTTTGATGCATTACTATGCAGCTATGAAAGGGATTGGCACCTTTGCTGGAAGCCACAGCACTGGCATTGCTGAAACCAGGATCCAGTGACCAACTCTTGGTCGATTCCCATGTGATAACACTCCTCACACACTACCCTTGCTCCCATGAAGATCAGGAAGGAATCTCCCCTTGTCTGCCAAGAATATAGCCCTTGCATGACTGACAGAGGACAGTACTCAGATGGGCAAGGGTTTCCTCCCAATATAAACTCTGCCAAAGGCAAAACAGGCTGTTGAGCAAATATCAGGCTTCTCTTGCGCAACAATTCTGCATCTCTGGGAGGCTTGGTAATTAAAACAAAGCACAAGCCAAGAAACAGTCCAAGGGAAAGAGCTTCAGTTCAGCGATGCTCAGGACAAAATTTTCTGTATCTTTTGAAAGAGTGGAAAAATTAGCACAAACAAAAATCTACCTTATTTATAATTTCTTGGTTGCTCAGATCCTTTGGCTCATCTGGAATTGTCACAAGGAACTTAGAGACATCTACAACCTCAAAATGAGTTGGAAGTCTTCCAATGGATGGTACGAATGTGAAAGTCAATGGTTTGGTTGCAGATTCTTGAGAAGTGACCTACGAAACACACAGTTAGTTTAACTTTTTTGTCCAAATAAAAATAATTTTTGTCAGAGCTGATATAATATTAATTACATCATCCACATAACTTACAAGTCTATTATTAACTATACTGGTCATTGGGTTTTTTTCACAGGTCATTGTATATTAAGGTCTTCTTTAACAGACAGAATACTGCCTTGATTAATATCATCATCTATATAATCTAATGGCATGCCACGGCAGACAGGAGAGAATTTGTTCAGTTATTCTTTCTATTTTCCATACCAGAAACAGAAAACCATATTCAATTCATTATTCATTTGCTTTTATCTTTGTTTAACTCCACTTTAGTAGAACAACAATGTAATTATACCGCTGCATCTGGACGTATTATAGCCCCTAGAGTATTTACTTAACAACTTTAACTTACAAGTCTATTATTAACTATACTGGTCATTGGGTTTTTTTCACAGGTCATTGTATATTAAGGTCTTCTTTAACAGACAGAATACTGCCTTGATTATATCATCATCCTATATAATCTAATGGCATGCCACGGCAGACAGGAGAGAATTTGTTCAGTAATTTGTTATTCTTTCTATTTTCCATACCAGAAACAGAAAACCATATTCAATTCATTTCAAGGCTGCTTTTATCTTTGTTTAACTCCACTTTAGTAGAACAACAATGTAATTATACCGCTGCATCTGGACGTATTATAGCCCCTAGAGTATTTACTTAACAACTTAAAACAAATTGGAAGAACCTTTGCTCTGCAAAAAGAAAGCAAAACGTTTACATTTTATAATGCAAATGTAGCTAATTCTGAACAACATCTGGGATGAATTCTGATTCAGGGAAAGGATTTTCTCCCATTTTCTTTGGACCATTCAGCCACATACACCAACTAATTCTGTGTCTGTCTTCTCATTCCTCCCTCCCCAACTTGCATTCTCACTAGGACCATGTACGCAGGGCCTGAATGCACTGAGGAGAAGAGAGACTAAGAGAAGGCAATTTCACCTAAACGTTCAATTTTATGACAGTGCTCTCCCATCACTTCCATCTCCTTCACAGGAGATACTGGACAGGAAAAATAAGTCCACACCATGGTAAAACTTTCAGTTCTTTTTGCCAGATATCAGGGGGAGAGGAACTCCAAAGGCCTTGGCAAGGTGAGTAGAGGGAACCACATCCCAAACCACTGAACCTGGTATACTGACTTTCCCACTACTTGTTGGTGTAGAAAATCCTTCTTTCTGATTGAAAACTATGGAATTTTCCCTTGTTTTATCATCTGATTTAAAGCATATGTCAGTTAATTGTGTTTTCAATGAACTCTAATATGCAGAACCTTGAACCGTATTGAATCATAGAGAAAAACAGGACCATCGCTTTGACTCTTTTTTTTTGGCTTACTTGTTTAAAGTGAAACAAATTGGAGAGCTATGGCTCTCATTATGCTTCTTTGTCATTTGCATCCATAAGGAAATAGGAGTTACGGAGCAGAGTGGGATTATGGAATACATTCACATCACTCGGTCTTCTCGTGACTGGAACATTAAAAACGATAGACACAGATTTCCAGTTTTTAAAAAATCTAAGCAAATATTAATTACTTCCACTGACAGCTGTCTCCTGGAGGCCTTGAGCAAAACAGAGGCAGGTTATTTATACAAACACTGCCAACTGCTCTTTTCTCTACAGTTTAGGAGAACTCTGCTCTCTCAGACACACCGAGAATAAATTTCCATGTATCCACCTCTAATTCTGAAAGAATAAGGTGGTTTGATGTTTGAAAGTGAAAAATCTGAATAAATGGCAGACATCTTGCTTCTGAAATCGGGCCTTTGTATTCACAAACTCACACGAATAGGTTACGTTACACTGCAGGCTTGTTGCCCAGTTAGAGGTGTGTACTCAAGGGTGCAGGACAAGGTGGTCTCCTACTTTCTCCCCCCTCCACTTCACACAAGTGGCCAAGCACCGGAGGACACGATGCATGGCCTAAATCAGTAGCGAAAGGGTGGCTGCTAACTGCTCCACCACGCCAGGAGCTCTGGATGTTATTTTGTGTGAGGGAGATTCAACATAGCTCTGTCCTTCTCTCAGCAGCCAAGGTACCCAGGTCTGACAATTGCTCTTCATAAAGCAGCAACACAATTTTAAAATATTAATACCTGGCACATTAAACACCTAGTCCTTGCTCCTGATATAAGTCAGCAGAGTAACATCAGTACTCAAGGATGTACTTGTTAGCGAGCAGCCACCAGTCCCTACAATGCAGCCAGGGATGCAGCCTCCACCCGAGCACCTGCTGTACCCAAAGGTGTTCTTCAAGAAGCAGGATTACCTGCGCACAGGCCGGAGCACCCATCGTATTGGCATTCATGATTTCTGTACAGCTGACATTGTCCATTACAGTCTTACACAGCACCTGGGTCTCCACGGAAATCAGTTGGAGATGGCCTTTGCTTTCCTGCAGGTCTGCAGCTGTGCTTTCATCTTCTCTCTCTAACTAGGAAATGCAGTTAGTGACTCTGGCTACCTTGGTCGTCTTTACTAGTATTTTCCTCCTCTACCTCACCCTCTCATCATGCTCTTGTTTGACACTCGACATCAGTTGTTTTGTATCAGTGAGTATTCTTGTGTCAGAGCACAAAATATTCCTTATAAAAGAAAAAGGAAGAGAGAAAGAAAAAGTGTGAAAATAGCAAGCCCCTACACAAACAGATTAATAGAAAATTCCAATCAAATGTGCTAGCATTGCTAAACTCCCAGTACTTTATCTGCATATTTGTAATGAGGAAATATAAATAAAAAGCCAAGTTATGAGGCTCCAGACCATTGCATAGTAATGGGGAGGTCTTGCCAGCACCTACTTCTGTACTGTGTCTTACCCTGCACTTCCAATTTTATTGCTTTGGTGAAAAAATTAAAGAATACCCGAAGAAAACCTTGTTGTATTTGGCCTAAACACATTGTAGAAATAACCATCAAAATTGCTTGCAAGCTAAAACTAAGGTTGGAAAACATATATAAAGATGTGCAAGCTAGAATATTTTTCAGATGGAAGATGCCATTAAAGCATGGTATTATTTATATTCCCCTAGTGTATTTTATTTTTCCTGGAGTTTAGAAAGTATAAACCAGCAAATAGAATTACTGCATTTCAGAAAGTTTTAAGTTGTCAGATGCTGTGTGAGGCAGTGTGGAGGAATGCGCTCCACTTAGGTTCATTCATAGCAAGTGGGAAACAGGAACTTCTAGCACGTAAAACTGGTCATGCAATCTAGGCTGCGTCACAGAAACCTAGACAACGAGCAAATATCACAAGGGTGGTCAGAAGACCCAAATGTTTCCACTGGGGAAAACAAAAGAGAAAAAACTCTTGTTTAAAAATATCTTTTAAGTGGTTGTTTTCATTTTACAGATTTCAAAAAATAAGTAAAAATACTTTGACATTTTAAAATGTAAATTTTATTTGGACAATGTGAAGCAGAAGGAACCATTACATATTTTTCTTTTTTTTTTAAGGTAGAGAAAGGATTTTTGCACCTTTTTTCATATACTCATCTCATTTACTCTATCTCTCTTACTGATGTTTCTATCCTTGAAGAACTGAAAGAAATGAACCAGGTGGACTTTCAGCATTTAATTACATTTATTAAAAGCCACTCTGACATGTAGAGGTAAATAATAGCGAAATAACCTTAAAATTCAAATATATAAAAATATATATGTGAAACTTTCTTGCAGATTATCATCTTTTCTCTAGGACCAATAGTAACAGCAGAAGGAATTCAATGCCATACATTCCTTGCTGCTGTAATTCATTTGAATCAATAGAGTTACGGTGGCAGAAAAATACCATATGTGACGTCTATTCAAGTTAATACTAATGAATTCTGGGTTATATTATATAATCAACTTCATGCACGATGAAATAATTGATTGTTTTTAATTGCATCCTTTCATGTTACTTAGTTCTTTGAAGAATATAAATTATAGAGTTTAATATAAATAACCTTTGAATATCCATTGGGGGCTATAGTCTGCTGCATAATACATTGCCAAAGAGCTTCAAAAGGAGAAACTTATTCTAGATGACTTCCATGACTTCCTATGTCATCAATTTACAAACAGGTTTGTTGCATATTTAATACCATCAATTTAAAACTGCCCCGGGGATTGTAACTTAAATTATATTATTGTTTTCATTACCACAGCTTTTACAGTCCTTACTTGTAGAGCACATTTGTATTGTCTTGGTTACCTTATGAAGACAAATGAACACTTCTATTTAATCTCTCGCATGCTCTATATGCATTCAGCATACTGTCTATTTTGTAATTTAAATTGAGGTTCCATTGTCAGTGATTGCTTCCCAGGATTTCCTTCTGGAATACAGATTGCTAAAGTGAAATTTAAGATGCTGGTTCACATTACCACTTCTTCCACTGATTTGCTAATGTAAGTCATTTCACTAATAAAATGACACCCTGAGAAAACCTCACTCTTGAAATATCAAGTACTTCCTTTTGAGGCTGTTTATTTATTTTCTTAAAGGACAAAAAAGGAAATATATGTATAAATAATAGCAAAATAACAAGCGTGTGCATTATACCATAGAGACACGTTGACTGACGCACTGTTTTGGTCAGAGCACAAATTCACATGCCCACAATTCCTGCATGATAAATATAGCTCTAACACACAGAGCACAGCTAAAGCTGCTCGCCCAGCCAGGGAGGGAGGCCATCCGAAAACACGGCCCAGGTTGTGTAACCTCTCCTTAAACTCCTTTTCTGTGTTCAGGCTAAAGTCAAACCACAGAAGAGAGATTGTCTTCTCCTCGAGACAGAGAACAAGGCTAGTCTACTATGGATGAAATTATCAGTTAATGAGATGTAGGAATCTTCAGCGTATCTTCTTATCCTGACATTATAGCTATCACAGTAACCTAATACGGATTAGCTGATCATTGTGTAATAAAAGCTCTAGCTTATCTAAAA